GGGGGGGGGTCCAAAACTTTTGTGAAAACACACAAGGCTAGGCCCATATGCGTTTATGTACACGTCGGCCTAAATTTGGGCTGCTTTTGTAACTCGAAAACAATGGAATTTCTCACTCACCAAGCACTGTAAGGCAAGCAGTCTAAAATCAGATCAGTTTCCAAGCTTCTCTAACAAAATACACGACTTTGGGTCCAAATTTGGGCTGGGTTCGTGAATTCCGGATGGGATAGGCAACGTGCCTGAATTCCCAGGTTTTAGTTTTAATCTGCTGAATTCAACTGGTTGGCCCTTGAACCCCAGCTTCGAATTTAAACTCCGATTTTAAAAAACTGGGCTGAGAAAAAGGATGATAAATTTGAATTCAAAAAATATACATAGGTTGCGCGGGACAGATAATTCTTGTAAAAAGCACCATCACAGTCTATCGGTACTGCCTGCATCGGTGTGCCTGTGTCTGCCGGACTGCAATTCAAACAAGGTAAAAGTTTATCATAGCTTAATGTACCCCTATTTTCCCGCCCTGACGCATCCACAGTTCCCATAACAGTTTATTATAAGCGTGATTGCATCGGATCTACGGTAGGCCATGCTACCACATCAACAGCCGAGACAAGCGAGGTCGATTATGTGCAACAAAAATCACTGCTTATTTGGTCGATATCCATTCATATGGTTTGAGAGACCCAGAATCGAGAAGCAGGATCAAAAGCGGGCAGTCTTTTCGTCGTGCATTTCACTCCCAGCAACTTTTCTTAAAGGAATTTGATTTCAAATGCGCTAACTAGAACTCAGCCTAAACAAAAAATTCGATACTACGATTTTTTGCATCTGTATAAATATATAAAAACACATAAACTGCCATCAGTAGGAATAAGTAAAAGTAACGCAACAAATCTGAAGCTTACAAAAAACTATAAAAAAACATGTTTACAAATGTGGCGTCCTGCTCAGCAGCAGGTTCGCGCGCTTACAAAACAACAAGCATGAAATGAAAAATGAGGATCCAAAAATTAAAAACAGTACAAGTGGCAAACAATGGAAGAAGTCAATAAAGCGTATTATCTCCATTCGATTTTTTGTCCCCCGATGCCGCAACAGCATGCCTGCGATGTGAGCCTGGACTGCGGGAATTATTTCGTGCTGATGGTGAAGATGCGGAGACACCGGAACTACGAGATGGCGGCGTCTTGCCACCGGAAATGCTTCGACCACGCGAAAACGAACGTCGACTACGGTGGCGCGAGACGCTACGGCTTCGAGTCGAGGAACGTCGGCGACGTGGAGTCCGTGAACGTGATCGTGAGCTGGAAACAACATATTCTAAACTACACACGAAATAAATACTCCAAGCAATGTAGGTATTCATATTGTACTAAGAAAAGAAGACACAGGGATAAGCTCAGCATAAATTATATTTACTACGATGCGCTTGCTTCCCGACCAATACATTACACCCGTAGCATGGTGTATTCGAAAAAATCACAGGAAGTTGTGGCAAAAAAAAAATGAATTTTTAAATCAGTGGTACTGTAACTATGTATGCAGGGACCATTTTCGTAAAATTACCCGTAACACTAAACCAGTATGGTGCAGTAGTAAGCGATATACACTGTTAAGCTCAACTTATGAATCGGCTGGCGAGCAAACCAGCTCT